GTTATGACCTATTATACTGAGGGGATTGGTTCTGGGACTTCCTAAAGATACCTAAGTCCTCTGAAGCCCAAGTCCCATATATAAAATGGCACAGGGTTTGCATGCAACCTGTGCAATTCTCCCCTATACATGAAGGATCCAACCCAGGGACGCACACGTGCTAAGGCAAGCAAACGCTCACTGAGCTACATCCTCATCCCTCCCCTACAGTTTAAAAATCATCTCAGATTATTTATAATACCTAATACCATACAAGTGCTCTGTAAATTGTTGTCACATTATATGGATTAGGAAATTATTATGAGAAAGAAAGTCCGTATATGTTCAGTTGCAGATATAATTTTTTCCGAATATTTTCCATCTGCAGCTGACTGAACTGTGGGAGCAGAACCTGAGCATTCAGAGGGCCAGCTGCACACGGTAGACCACGCGTACCTTCCGTTTCAGTTCCCTGAAGTCAGCGGCTGTCTGAAAATATGAAATGGAAATTTCCAAAATAAACAATTCGTAAGTTTTAAATAACTTGGATTACAATATATTGTTCTATTTTATTATTAGCTATTGTTTTTGTTTTGCTTTGTTCACAATGCTGGGGCTTGAACCCAGGCCCTCCCACGTGGTAGACAGGCACTCGACTGCTGAACTGCATCTCCAGCCCCTTATCATTAACTAGTATTGTTGATCTCTTACTGTGACTAATTTATAAATCAAACTTCATTAAAGACATGTATGTATAGGGGAAAAAAACTGTGCATAAGCGTTAGAACCTGTGGAGGTTTCAAGCACACTTGGAACATCCTGAAATGCATCACCATGGATGGGGTGGGGCAGGGACTGAGTATAAAGCAGGAATCATAGGGGGACAATCATATTTCCTATTTCAGAGGCCATCATGAGGACCTCATGGAATGATGCATGAGAAGCATTTAGGACAGTAAGGGCCACATTGTCAGTGTTAATTGTCGCTTTTACTATTTTATTTTTATTTTTAATTTTCTTTCTTTCTTTTTTTTGTACCAGAGATTGAACCCAGGGCACTTTACCACTGAGCCACATCCCCAGCTGTTTTTATTTTTTTATTTTGAGACAGGGTCTTGCTAAGTTGCTTAGGGCCTCATTGAATTGCTGAGGCTGGCCTCAAACTTGCAACATTCCTGCCTCAGCTTCCCGAGTCACTGGGATCACAGGCATGCACCTCTGCACCCCACTTGCTTTTATCACTGACTACATTGGTAAATAAGATATTCCATATAAAGTGCTAATCAGTGTCTGACACTTGTCAAACAATCACAATAACTGCTACTATTGCCATTTGATTACTTCAGTTCTGAATTAGTTATCTATTGATGTATAATCAATTACTCTCAAACTCAGCAGCTTAATGTGACAATCAACATTTACCATCCCATGTAGTTGCTGCGGGTCGAGAAGTTAGGAGCAACTTACAGTGGCATGGTGCTAGCCCAAGATCTCTCACGAGGTTACAGACCAGCTTGCCTGGGGCCTGCCTGGGGCTTGACTAGGGTCTGCTTCTGAGATGGCTGGCTTGCTTGCTTGGCTGCCAAGTTAGTGCAGACTATGGGCAGGAGACCTTGATTCTTCACCTCATGGTGCCCTTCAGAGAGCTGCTTGAGCATCCTCACAGCATGGCGGCTGGCTTCCCCCCTGGCAAGTAACCTAAGAGAGCAAGGTAAAAGCCAGGAGGTCTTAAGTAAGTCATACTCTGTGCCACAGTATCCTGGTTACACAGGTTTGTCCTGCCCATTGGGGGAGGGGCTGCACAAGGACAGGAATACCAGGAGCAGAGGCTCAGTGGGGCCATCTTGGAGGCTGGCCACCACAAGTACTGAACTGTGTGGCAGAGGCTGTGAGTCCTACAGCCCAAATGACAGGGAGCATAAGGAAGGTCCGAGTGCAAGGGAACTTCCCATCAGACTCAGCTAGATCACAAGAGACAACCCAGCCATGTTTTCCCTCAGCCTACCCTTCACTAGGACTTGGCAAGAGAGGAAGGGCAAGAGGGAAGGAGGAGAAGTGTGCAGAGATGTTTACCAAGGTGAGCAGGACCTCTGTCAGGGCCGGTGACAAGTAGACTGACATTGGGGGAGGGAAAATAGTTTATAAATAAAGTGAGAGAGGCAGCCGAGCTGTTCCAGGAGGGCCCGGAAGGCCAAGTAACCATGTGTAAACCAGCTGGAGTTAAAAAGTAAACGTTAAGGGGATAGGGTTTGGCTGAAAACATGTTCAAAACTTCTGCAGATTTGTTTGATGTGGGGGATTGGAGGCTGGGTAATGGATTTGGGGAGGTGAAAAAATTCTCCTCTATGGGGCATTTGCTTCCACAGGAGCCTGTGGCCGTGGGGTCAAGGCAATACCAGGAAATGGACTTTCACAGCTTCCTCCTATCAGGGTAGGAAGCTCAAGTTGATAAGTTGGAATGGAGTCTCCCATTTTGAGGAGCCTCCCCAGAGGAAACGCTGGAGTGGGAGATAGTCTCTGTTTACACAGCATGTCGGCATGTCTGCAGTTTACACAAACTGTATCCTCAGGCCAGGCTGAAGATAGAACCGCCTGACCTAGAAAAGCCTGGAGTCTGGGCCCAGTGCCCAGCCAGTGGTGGGCGGAAGTGCCTGCCCAGACCCACCCTGCCCAGGGGGGCTCAGAGCCACTTGGATACACTGTGGGTGGGGGCTTCCCGGCACCCTGCAGACCCCACACTGTGGCCAAGCAGAGCCACGACAGTGATTTAGGTATCCCCTTCACATCCAGCGCATAGAACTACCTGCTGGATTCTTCTAGTTTATTCCAGTCAGCAACAGGGAGTACCTCGTGACACCCTGAGTACAAGACTTTAGTCCTCTCATCAAAACAATAAAACCTAACATTTGTAGATCAGTGTCGGTTCCCTCAGTGCTCCCGATAGGATGCTTGGTGGTTTGCAGATCTGTGCTGCTTAAGGAGGTTGCATGAGTCAGGCATTTATGGGTTTGGATCAGCACCAGGCCTTGAGGGTGACCTTGGACAAGTGCACTTTTACTGCTTAACTGCTGGGAGCTCCAGTTTCCCCATCTGGGAAATGGGAGAAGGCTAAGAGGCCAGAGCCCTTGGACAGTACCCCACCCATAGCAAGGGCTCAGCAACCACCACCGTCTTCACCCCAGTATTCCATATTCACACCCTGCTTCCATGTCTTCACTCCAAGTTGTTCCTCTGCCCAGAATTCTCCCTCTTCTTGTTCTCTTCTTTCAAAACTCACGCCCACCTCCCAGGCTGGTTGATATGTTCTATTAGAGCCCTGGGTAGCTGTCCCTGCTCTCACTGTGGCACAGGGCACTTACATAGTGGCCGGCCGGCTGGCCAGGCTGCTGCACCTCTTTCCCCTGCATCTCCCCACCTTCTGGCCCAGTGCAGGCACTCCCAGGTGCTCCCCCAACAATGCAGCATTGGGCTTGTTTGAGGTCGCAGAAAGCCTGGTCCGTGGGTCAGCCCCCAACCATACCAGCAGCCCCTGGATGGTCACTTCTGATCTGGACCCTGTCCACATAGAAATGGGGTCGCAGGACTCAGGGCAGGAGAAGGGGGAGCCTTCTCCTCTCTGGGAGCCTTCCTCCCAGCAGGAGCGCCTGAGTTCACCTGGGAAGTCAAACTATCCCCAGAGAAGAAGTTAGCAGTACGAAAAAGCCAGCCAGGGAGCAGAGGGCTCTCTGCCCAGCCCTTCCCCTGACTTCTGAGAACGAAGGCCCCTTGATCTGGCTCCCGCACAGACCTAGCACCTCAAAGAAGTGTTCCCTGGGACTAAGGAGTGTCTCTCTCAATGTCAGACTGGGCAAAGTCCAGGGCTGCCCTGTGATTCAGAGGGTGGGGCTGGAGTTATAAATTATACCTTTGCTTTAAGAAAAAAAAAAAATCCATTAAAAAAAAAAAAAAAAACAGACTCCAGAGCTTGGGTTTGGCTGTCTGACTTAGGGAGTCACTTTCTAACCAGCAGAGCTACCCTAGGTTCTTCAACCTCCAGGGTCAAGCATGCCCCACAGACCACCTCTCCTTTCCTCAACCTCTCTCTAAAGAGCCTGGCTGGTTTGGGAGTCCTATGGGTCCTGACTTTGTAAAGTCTCTGGAAGGTCCTGTCCACTCTCACACTAGTCAAGCGTCATCTCCACACACCTGAGTCACCACAGCCGCCTCCACCCTGCTGTCCCTAGCTGGGATCTCTCCTCTCTCCATCCTCTCATAGGCACTGGTCCCAGAAAAGCTTACCTAAAACAGTGCACGTGTCACCCAAACTTGCTTGAAAATACTCCTGGTGTGATAGCACATGCTTATAATCCCAGTGATTTGGGAGGCTGAGACAGGAGGACCACAAGTTTGAAGCCATCCTAAGCAATGTAGCAAGGCCCTAATCAACTTAGCAAGACCTTGTCTCAAAATTAAAAAGGGCTGAAGATGTGGCTCAGTGATTAAGTGCTTCTGGGTTCAATTTTCAGTAACCGCTCCCCTCCCCCCAAAAAAGAGAGAATTTAAGTGACCCAAGACAGAATGTTCATAGATGAGTGAGGTGGCAGAGCTGAGATTTGGTGCTGCCTGCTTACCATTCAGGAGTGCTCTTCCAGACCCCAGCTCTCACCCGCCAGGAGTGGGCTTCCGTAGGTGTCTGCTGGGGAATGGATGGCCCAAGTGGTAGCTTACCTTGTGCTTACAGGGAGACATGACTGTCCTTCTGGCCCCTATGAGCAGGCTTCTCAACTGACGCCTGTCGTGTGCTGACGTAACCCCACTCCCACCCCGACACAGACCCACTTGGAGCCATTCACTAACCCGTCATGTGTATCTAGTCATTCCAAGTCAGCACCTTGTGCAGCAAGCCCCAGGGCCCTGGTTCTGACAAAAGTCCCCACTCTAGTCACTGCCTGGGTTGCTAGGGTCCTGGCATCCTGCAAATCCAGCTTCTCATCCTTAGAAACTCAGGAAGAGGGTTAGTAAAGGTAGCTAGTGTATCCTCATTGAAATTATGTTCACTTATCAAGCCTTTATTATATGTCACATTAAATGCTAAAGATACAGAGTAAGTTAAGCATGTCCCTTGCCTTGAAGGAGGCACATTTTGGCATGGTAGGCAAGGGAGGGGACTGTTGCAATCAAGTGTGACAAGTGCCATGGTACAAGGAAGCAAGGATACCATAGAACCTGAGGCCAGGAACCTTGACCAGCCAAGGGTAGGAGACCCAAAAAGCAAGGGATAGGAAGGAGGGGAGACAGGTGGACTGGGAGTCAAGTAGGGAGAACTTCCGTTTGTTGTTTGTTTTAACACTGCTGGCCATCTTAGATGAATGGCTGAGAGTTACTAAAATGGGCAACGATTAACTACAACAGCAATTTGTCAATAGCAACATCTCCCTAACGAAATGCTGTTACTCCGTGAGAAGGCGATGCTGGACGTGGGGGAAAGCTTCTCAGAAAATCTCATAGTTTCTAACTTTTTAATTTTATTTTATTTTGGTGCTGGGGATTGAACCCAGGGGTGCTTTACCACTGAGCAGCATCCACAGGCCTTTTTTATTTTATTGAGCCATGGTCTCACAAGGTTGCTGAGTGTCTCACTAAATCGCTGAGCCTGGCCTTGGACTTGTAGTCCTCCTGCCTCAACCTCCCAAATTGCTAGGATGGTAGGCAGTTCCTTCCTATTGATAAAGTACTCACAGCTATTATTGTTCCCCCACTTCAGGAAAAGATGAAATAATTAACAATAGGGAAGAGAGGGGTAAATTTTTCTGGAAACAAGACCTAAATTATAGGCATGTAGTTTTAGACTTTAGAAATCACTGTACTTCCCCTGGTGAGCCTATTGCAATGCCTGACTGTCCAACTAAGAGTTAAACAGCATCCCCAATTCCCAATTCCTTAATTGTAACATATTTACTAAGAGTCTCAGTGATTGGTTCAATTCTAAGAGAGCAAACCACCTAGGGCAGTAGTTGTTATTTTTTTTAAACGAGAGCCCCTCCCCCAGCTTTTTTTTTTGGTGGTGGTGGGGTGGCTGGTGCCAGGAATTAAACCCAGGGCTTCAAGCACGATAGGTGAGTGCTGTACCAGGAAGCCATACCCCACCACCTCTCAACATTTCTGAACACATACTTGGCTTATATAAGGAGGAAAGTCTTAGGGGAATCAGGCCCTGCCTGTGGCCAGCCCGTGGAAGGGATGAGGTTACCTCCTCCTGAAAGGCACTTCCTCACTTTGCAGAAACCCAGGATGATGGGGTAACGGAGGCTTACTTAGTTCAAAACATTATACATCTGCTTTTCCATAGTGCTTTTTGGCTTCCTGCCCTGAATGGCTTTGGGAAGAACAGAGACAACCAGAGCCTTAAGCAGGCTCCTTTGGGAGGAGCCCAACAGTCCTGGACCAAGGACTGGCTAGTGAATGACTTAATGGAGTGTTTCAGCTGTACGAAGTGTCCCCATTAGGATCCACTTCAAGATCCTGGGGATTTGGAAGTTTTGGAGATCTATTTTGGCCCTTGTGAAAGGGGGTGATTTAGATGTTATCTCACTGCATACTCTAGCCAGTACCCCAGGCAAGAGAAGCCCCTGCCTGACTGCTTTACTGGGTGTCCTCCCAGACTGAACTGTAGGTTCCAGGACCCCAAAGTTGCTTATTCAAGCAGGCCAAGCCTACTTCTCTGGGTGTGGTCTGTCCTGAAGGGGTCTGTACTATTGAAGTGTCCATCACTAGGCCTGACAGCTGTCCAGTGGTGTCTGCATGCACACGGAGAGTGGGGGAGTGGTCTACATAAAATATGAACAGCCATGCCCAGGAGTCACCCCTTCCATTACCCCCGGGCTTGATGATAGATGACAGTTCATCAATTGGACAAGTAAGCATTCTGATAGAGGGAACTGATTAGAGGCTGCTCCGCCATCTCACATAGCCCTGATGGAAACACTCTGAGGTTACTGTGCTGATTTTGAAGATTAGAAAACAAAAGCTCATGTTTTTTGTTTTTTGGTACCAGGGATTGAACCAAGGGGCACTAAACCACATCCTCAGCCCCTTCTTATATTTTATTTAGAGACAGGGTCTCGCCGAGTTGCTTAGGGCCTCACCAAGTTGCTGAGGCTGGCTTTGAACTTGCGATCCTCCTGCCTCACCTTCTCAAGCCACTGAGATTACAGCTGTACGCCACCATGCCTGGCCACAGCCCATGTGCTTAATGTATAGTGCCAACATCTCCACTTGAACCTCTGCTTTCTGGTTGATGAGGTGACTCCTGAGATTCCTGGTGGATATTAATAAACCCTGCCCCTCTTCAGAGTTAAGATTTGGGGGAAACCTTTCATATGCATGTCTTTCTTATTGTGATCAGAACTTTGAAACCAGAAACAGATCCTGTCGGGGGATACATTGGCAGCCATGAGTGAACCTGAGCCAGAGGCTTAACCCGCAGATTTAGGAAAGATAAAGGGAGACATTCTGACAATGACATTACTACTAAGCCTCCAAGCGGCTCGCTTGTTCCTCAGTCAAGCCTTCCATCTGTGGACAGACGCTGAGTGCACTTGTCCTACAATTTAATCTTCCGGAGGATTCTAGATATAACTACTTCCATTTTACAGATGAGAAAGGCAAAGGTGGGTCTGTTAACTGAGTTCTCACCCAGGTTCCTTCTCCCCCACGGGGCTGCATTCCTTCTCTGGAAAACAAAATGAACAGTGAACACAGTCTGCGATGAGTCAGGTGGGTTTGGACAGGATAGTGGGTTACCTCGCTACTTAAGGAGCTCTTCCTACTGCAGCTGAAGCAATCACAATCACGGAGCCACTTCCCCTGGCTTTTATGTGCTCCCCACCTCTCCCTGTTGGGGGATGTCAAGAGAAGGCTAATAACTGGAGCAGAAGGAGGACTTCTGATGCCTCCTCTTGGAAGCCGCCCGATGCTGTGCTGTGGTTCTGACTCAGCAGTTGCTCCTGTCCCCTGAATCCTCCTATGAGCTTGCTGTTTTTCTTCCTTAGCAGCTGATATAGGAATTTGGAGAAAGACTAATTGATGACATGATTTGTTCTGGGAGCCAGTCTGCAGTAGTCTGGAAAAAGGTCACATGAACTATTTCTCGGCGCCGCTGGGTGAGCTCTTACTGCTCGATAAATTCAACAGCTGACACTTCCTGGCATTTTGCTCTGAGGTCAACTCCAACTCTGCAGGCCGTGACATGTGAGGCTACCTGTAGACCAGCCAGCCAGCCAGTCGGAGTGTGGTTGCTGGAAGCAGCAGGTCCAAGCCTGCTAACCCAGAGTTCCCAGGGAAAGAAGGCTGCTGCTACCAGGAATGAATTGAGACTGCAGACCTGATCTTCTCTGGAGAAACAGAACGTGTGCAAGAATCCTCACTTATTTCTGCCCAAGAACATTTACAGGCAAGAAAATAGCAAAAGCATCCCTCCTTTTAAAAAGTAGCAAGGCAAAATAAAGGAGAGGGAGTGAGCAAGACCTTTCAAGTTTCTCAGAAAGAGTCTCAGACAGACGCAGATTGCCCATAAAGGGTTCTGATGTAGCCAGCAAAGTGCTGCTGTTTCCATGGGTGCTGGTGCATGTCTTTGAGACAATACTGGCTTCTGACTTCTGATGAGCTGACGTCTCCACTGGTCATCAGAAGCTCATGGATCTTTTTCGGAGGCTGAGAAAAATACAGCCAATAATTAAAGTCATGTTTTCCATTATTAACAACAACAAACAAAACCACCCACAATTCAATTCCACATGTCTAGTTTCATATGAAACTTTCCACATGAAAAAATTTACTCTGGTAAGGGCAACATCAAATCTCATTACCGAAAAAAGTTGCCCTTTCAGATCTAACTCCTGTTAAGTGAATAATGTGTGGGGTTTAGACACCAGGTAAATATTGCTATTAGCTCAGCTCCTCTTGACTTATTTCCCCATCAGCCACCTGGAACATATTGCAAGCACTGCCTGAGCTCAAAGTACGGAACATCTTAATAGAATCAGCCTAACAGCTGGGGAGCTTCAAGGTGGCAGGCAGCCTGGAAGGGGCTGGAAAAACAGACCAACCAACCAACAAACAAAACTACTGGACTCCTGGTGCCTCAAGTCTAAGTACAGTTAGCCTCTTGTCTCAAGCTTGAACTTCACACACCTCGACATTCCAAGCACGGGGGCTATTTTGGCAATATCAGAGATTGCAGGGCATTAAGAGTCAAGAGAGAGAGAGCTTCCAGTCCCTGCTCTGCGACTGGCCACAGTAAACGAGGCTTGGAGGGAGTCATTCAAGCATTTCCTCCTGTGGGCTTCTCCCTGGGCCCCATGAGAGTGAGGTTAATGCTGGGGTGTTCCTAGTCAGGCTATTGTGAGCAGTGAATGAGATAACTAGGTCAGAGTGCTTTGAGGCATTTAAACTATCATGCATATGTAAGAGGTTTGTATTATGGGACAGCTTGGGGATTCCCTTGCCTTCCTGGCAGCGAAGGGAAGAATAGGAAAAGCCCATGGCTGCTTTATCTGTAAGATGCATCAGAACCCACCTATTTTATATTGATGTGAGACAGAAGGGAGTTGTGTAATAAGACTGCTAGATGTGTCACCAGCCTCATTAGAAAATTAACCCAAGGTTTAATCATCCAGTAATGTGACTGATTTTTAAATAAACACATCTAAATGGGTGTTGCCTTGTTCTGTGTGGAGAGTAGTCACCTTGGCAAGCTAAACATTTATTTAAATTATATTTCCCATCATTCAAAAAAAGATCTTTTTTTTAAACTCCTCATTGGAACTGTTCCTGGAGCCTCTGGCACATTCTTTTGAATATGTCTGAGGGTGACACATTTTTGTCCTTTGTGGATAATCCTGATTTTTATAAACAGCCCAAAGTTATTTGGCACAAAATATGGTAAATAATCTAAGTAATACCATTTTTAAAAAATTGAAAATAACTCGTGACTATAACATAGAAGCCTTTCTTTCAGTTCCAAGAACAAAGTACAAATAGTAGATTTCAAGAATAACAGGATTATTAGAAAGGACTTGTTCCATCCTATGTGACAAGAGGAGAAAAGCCATTTGGAAATGTGTTTCGTTTTTAGTCAGACTTTTCATTATTTATCTTGCAAGACTGTTTGCCACTAAACATTGAGTTTCCAGCAAGAACAAACACTGCAACTCATCAACTGTTCCTGTGCTTTTAACACAGCTCCAGGGGGCATCTAAATAGTTCATTTGCATATGGATTAACTAGCTAGCGACAATACAGATGTTTCCAATGAATTTACATCTGGACCTGCTGGAAACAGCATCCAGCAGATTCAATTCTAATATACTCTGCACTCCCTTAAAAAGTTTGGGATTTCTTTTCCTACTTATGAAACAACTTATCTGAAAATCAAAATATCAATATCCCGTAATGTAATCTGGAGCAACTAGTAGATTGACTTATGTTGTAAATAAGATGTCGTAGGTAATATTTTAAAATAAACATTGCGATATTTCTATTCATGACATACACACTGTGATACTTTCTTTTTTTGGTGGGGAGAGCAGAATACTGGGGATTGACCCCAGCAGGGCCCTACCACTGAGTTTACAGCCTCACTAAACTGCTGAGGCTGGCCTTGAATTTGTGGTCCTCCTGCCTCAGCCTCTGAGCAGCTAAGATTACAGATTACATGTGCCAACATGCCCAGCCCTTACTGTGCCATAACTTCAAAGTTAAATGATGGCGGTGACTAAGGGAAACACCTTTTCCTTAACTTATTTTTTTTTCTTGTAGTCAAATTCATATAACATAAAACTCACCATTTGACAATTTTATTATTTTTATTATTGTTTACTTATTTTACTTTGAGACAGGGTCTCACTGTGTTGCCCAGGCTGGGTTTTCAATTCATAATTCTCCTGCCTCAGCCTCCCAGGTATCTATGAGTACAGTTATGCACCACCATGCCCTGCCTTCATTTGACCATTTTATTTATTTATTAGCACCACGGATTGAAGCCAGGGGGTGCTTAACCCCTGAGCCACATCCCCAGGCACTTTTGTTTATTTTGAAACAGGGTCTAGCCAAGTTGCTTAGGGACTTGCTAAATTGCTGAGACTAGCTTTGAACTCCTGATCCTCTTGCCTGAGGCTCCTGAGCTGCTGGAATAACAGGCATGAGCCACCCACACCAAGCACATTTGATCATTTTAAAGTGTGCAAATCAGTGGCATTAAGCACATTCAGTGTTCAGCAAGCATCACTACTATCTAGTTCCAAAACACTTTCATCACCCGCAAAGGAAAATCTCTATCCATTAAGCAGTTATTTCCCATTTTGCCTTCATCCCTAGCTCCTGGCAACTGCCAATGTGCTTTCTGTTTCTGTGAGTTTGCCTATTCTGGATATTTCCTATAAACCAGACCATACAATACATATGTGGCCTTTTTTTTTTTCCTCATTTAGCATAATATTTTCAAAGTTCATGTCATACAAAGGGAGACCAGTAGAGGAAAAGGTCCTAGAGGAGAGAAGCAGGGAGGAAAGAGGAAAGTGCTGGGGGGGCGGTGATACTGGCCAAAGTATATTGTTATATTGTGTGCAGGTAGGAATATATGGCAACAAATCCCATCATTATGTACAACTATAATGCAACAATTTTTTTAAAATGTGGAAAAAAGTTCATGTAGTAGCATGTATCAGTATGTCATTACTTTTTAATAACTGAATAATTCCATTGCATGGATATATCAGTTTACCATTCATCCGCTGGTCATTTTCACCCTTGACTATTTTGAGTAGTGCTGCCATGAACATGGATGTGCAAGTTTTGTTTGAACACCTCAGTTCTTTAGGGGTGTATATTATATCTCAGGAGTGAAATTGCTAGGTCACATCTATGTTGAACTTCTTTTTATTTTTATTTTTTTGGTACTAGGGATTAAACACAGGAGCACTTAACTGCTGAGTCACATTCCCAGCCCTTATGTTTAACTTTTTAAGGCACCACCAAACTCTCTTCCACTTTTACGGTTATAATTCACAAGATGTGTTGATCACCAGTTAGAAGAAGTAGGATGGCTATAGCCAAACCCTGGGCTGTGCCAAAAGATGTCTTTCAGAAACACTGATTAGAGCAGCCAGGTTTGACGTGAGCCGAGCAAGGTTCCACGCAGGGCTTTGAGCAGCTTCTCTGCTGTCTACATGTCACAACATGAACTGGTGGGGCAGGAATATCTTCCTGCCTCCTAGGCATCCTTGTTTCCCATTACGTTGAACACACTTTAGGAAGAAGATGTTAACTAGCCTAACTTAGAGGCTTCCCTCCTGTTTTTGCTGAAGAGTTCAGATTAGCACCTGGAGTAAAAACAGAAAAAGGGCTTGGGAGCTGGCACTATGTCCCTGTCCTTGGCAGTGGCTAGTACTTTCATGGTTTAGGAACAGGCCTCCCTAACATTAGTTGAGACCACAGGGAGATCTTCCAACCAGAGTTGACTTTTGCCATACATTCAGACTGAAAGCATTGCCCAGTGATCCTGATCCTAGTAACCCACAGATACCAGAGGGGAGTCTACCTCACTTTGTAGATTGTAGAATGTCCACCCCATGGGCCTGGCCAGTCCAGCAAGAGATAATCCAACTATAGGCATTGTTTACTGCAACTGAAGAATTGAGTCATGAGGCTTCTCAGTCACTAACCCAACTCAGACTGATTAGCACTGATTTTTAAACTTGTTCACAAGCCTCTCAGAGTGTTGACCTTTTACCCCAACTCCCTAACACAGGAAGTTTCTGAAGCCCAAACCAAGGAGCATTGTGTTGCACTGCCAAAAGTAGACAATCCAAACCACTTTTGGCTTTTCCACTTGAAGCTCAATACCAAGAATGAAAAAGTCGGCTTCTGGGTCCTTGTTACAGTCACTTTGCCAACCCAGCTGTCACTTGTCGCTTGTCTCCTGGCAGCCCTTTCAGGTGTCCTGGCCTTAATCTGTCGTGAGGACAGAAAAAAGTCTCTTGCTGGTCATATCCTCTGTAGTCTGGCAGGAAACCTAAAATTTGCCTGCTGCAGTTCTCAATCTGTTTGCTTATCTGCTTCCTTGTTGGGAAGAAACTGCATCGCAGTGTCCGGTGCAGGGGGATTTTTACCATGACCTCACCCTCCTCCTCATTCTCTAATTTCAGAGAGCCAAAGCACTGCCGAGGTCGTAACGTGGGTGGGAATCCACATTAAAGGGGACATTAACAACCTTTCCTACCACATCTCAGACAGACGTCAATTCCAGTTCTTTCTCCTCAAACCAAGGCCCTTTGCAGGGCTCAGAAAATGCCAGAAAGAGGTGGGAAGACGGCGATCGACACATCTAGTTATCCTTCCAGTCTTCGGGAGGCAGGGAGTCACCTGAAGAAAAGGCACTAAACACCTTCCAAGGCTCGTGCCGGCTGCTGGAATGATCTCGCAGCCACTGGCCTCGACGTGAGGCAGGAGGGAGTGACAGCAGACGGCGGGTGCGCTACCTAGGAGAAAGGGTGGTGGCAGCGGTCGGGCAGAAACGGAGCCAAAGGCAGATCTGGCGTCCGGCCTCCGGGGCTCGGAGAACGAGGGCTTCCGCGCAAAAGTGGGAGCAGATAAAGGAAAACAGAAAGTTGGGCTCCGCAGGCGCGCGAGACCCGCCCACGTGACCGCAGCTCCCCGGCCCTCCTCGTGCGCGCTCGGCGACAGCAGCAGCCCAGCGGGCGGAGAAGCGAGCGCGTGACAGGCCGGCCCGCGGAGGTGTGGGGGACGGGAGAGGCCGCGGCGTGAGGGCGTGCGCGCCCCCGGGGGCAGCGTGCGCGCGCGCCTCGGGGCCGCCGCCCCTCCCGGGCCCGCCCTCCTTCCCTCCCTCCCCGGCTCGCCAGGCCCGCCTTGCCCGGCCCGCCCTGCGAGTCAGTTCGCTGGATCCCTCCCTCTTCGGGCGCGCTCGGGCCGCCTTAGCGCTCCCCGCCCTCGAGCCGGGGTGCCGGAGCCGCCCGCCGCCCGTGGAGGAGGTGGAGGGAGCCGCAGGGGCCCGCCGAGGCGGCGGCGGCGGCAAGATGGCGGACTTCCTGCCGTCGCGGTCCGTGCTGTCCGTGTGCTTCCCCGGCTGCGTGCTCACGAGCGGCGAGGCCGAGCAGCAGCGCAAGTCCAAGGAGATCGACAAATGCCTGTCGCGGGAGAAGACCTACGTGAAGCGGCTCGTGAAGATCCTGCTGCTGGGCGCGGGCGAGAGCGGCAAGTCCACCTTCCTGAAGCAGATGAGGATCATCCACGGGCAGGACTTCGACCAGCGCGCGCGCGAGGAGTTCCGCCCCACCATCTACAGCAACGTGATCAAAGGTGCCGGGCCGGGGCCGGGGGCGCGGGGACCCGGGGACCCGGGGACCCGGGCGGCGGCGGGCGCGGGGCGGGGCACCGCCCTCGCCAGCCCAGTGTGCGGCGGGGCACCGGCCCGGGGTCGGCTGCTGGGCGGGCGGGAAGGGGGTGCGCCGGGCCCCGCTCCTGCCGCCGGGGTGCCGTCGCTCCCAGGTGAGACGGGGCCGGGGTGGCGGTCACTGCCGGCCCCACACCCCGCCGCTGGCCTCGCCCCCTCCGAGAGGGAAGTGAGGCGAGCCGGGCGTTTCGGAGTGCGGAGTGACCTCCCCTGCCCTCCTCGCTGCAGGCCAGGCAGGACCACCCGAGATCAGCCCCCTGCGCGAGCCTCGCGGCGCCTGGTGGGTGACCCAGCCACAAGGTCGAGGGCGCTCCCAGTTCCCGGGCTTCCTTGGCCCGGCTGGTGAGCAAGGGAATTCTGAAACCATCGCGTTAAGGAAACTTTTGTCTCTTGTCAAAGTGACGGCCCCCAGGGCCAGCTTAGGCAAAGCTGCGAAAGTTGAGGGTGTCACCTTTGGCATCAGGGAAGAGTGGATCCATGCAATTTACGTAGAAAAACTAGCACGAGTGGTTTTTCTCCCCAGTGTTACAGGATGTGTGCCTTTAATCATCCTGCAACATCTTTCCCTGTTTTTCTTTCTTTTTTTTTGCTAGATAACTGGGCGCAAGAGAAAAGGGGAGGGTCCTGCTTTTTCTATTTAAATGAAATTGTGTGGCAGTATGAAAACTTTCGTCTAAAAGTGATGGGGATCCTGTACAGGTGGAATCAGTGAATCACTGTTAGTTTGGATAATAGGCTCTGCTCCTGTTTGACAGTATTTTTAAAATTAAACGTTGCTCTCAAGTGAAAAATACACAGGTCTTTATTTCTGGACAAAGAAATCGGAAAGGTGGTTTTTATTTTGTCATTTAAAAGAACCAGCTCTCATTTTTCTAGTGTCAGATATTTTTTTTACATAAAAGGCATTGACAGAATTGAGATGTCAGGTGCATCATAATTCTCCTTATGTTATCTGTGGAACATTTTGTCTAGGAGATTGCTGCAAATGGCAGGCCTTTTCAAGCAGTGTATTTTAAGTGGGGTTTCTTGTTCAGGAAGTCATAAGCAACTCCTTAATGTCACTTTCCCCCCCCTCCCTGGGTTTGCCTGGAGAGGGAGGGTTTGTGAGGCAGTAACTGGTGAACACTAGGCCAGGAGCTCACAGACAGCAACCAGCTCTTAACCTTGGTACCTCTGCAGTTAAACTGTAAAAGACAATTGTATTTAGCCTGCCTGAATGTTTAACCCATACTAATTAAGGTCTCTTTCAGAGTTGCAGACTCTGCCTTGCCAGTCCTTAATTGAAGGTACTTTTGTATCCCAGTGCAGGTGAATTTGAGGAATTACGTTAATGAATAGAGTCAACATGTTAACTGTGGGCTAGGTAAACACCTGCTTCTTCATGTAAACTAAGTCCTAAGTGTGACCTATTTTGAGCATCATTCTGAGGTGAAGCCATTACGCATCCAGTTTTTTTGAGTTGGCGTGATCAGAAAATTAACAGCAAAATGGTTTTTCAGTTTTTCAAATAAATGACTTCGTGATAGATTGTTAAGATGGACCAAAAGTTAACAACAGTTCAGTGCTAGAAATATATAGTTTGAACTATCCTTTGTGAGTTGATACCTGTTTTTAAATCATTTTTCTGTTGATCTTCCTCCCTTTTTTAGGAAAATCTAAGACCTTTCTGTGACTTACACTGATTTGAAGCTTGGTTTGGGAGAAATTTTGGGGTTCTGAATGTGTTCCTACAAGACTCAGTATTGGGTACTAAGGAACTAAACTGAAGACGTTATATAATTCTTAGTGTTTTGTAAATAAATGTCTTTTAGATGGGCTCATAAAAATCTTGTTTGCAGCCCTTGTCTTCAAGACAGTAGGCTATACAGAATAATCTCTTTTTCTTCTCCTAGTTTGGTTTGACCACCTTCCATTCCAGAAATTATTTTATAAATTGCAGCATATTAAAATTTTTCAAAAAGAGTGATTGTGTTAATAGTATTTGCTCTTCAAGACTGTAAAACTTAAGAAGGTGTGAGAACATTTTTCCTTGAGAAGATACAGGTGTTTGATTTGTTGCTGGTCTCCACTTCACTTTTGTAGATGGCCCTGAGTAGTTAAATTTTTAAGAAATTAGAATAAAAGCTTATATTAGCGTCTAATGACTCTTCCCCACACTTTTTTTTTTTTTTTAAACAAAGGTATGAGGGTGCTGGTAGATGCTCGAGAGAAGCTTCATATTCCTTGGGGAGATAATGAAAACCAGCTACATGGAGACAAGTTGATGGCGTTTGACACCCGGGCCCCCTTGGCTGCCCAGGGAATGGTGGAAACACGGGTCTTTTTACAATATCTTCCTGCTATAAGAGCCTTATGGGCAGACAGTGGTATACAAAATGCCTATGACCGGCGACGAGAATTCCAACTGGTAAGATATTTGGTTTTTTTTTAAAATGTGGTTTTATTTTAATGACTAAATAATATTTGATTTAGCATGCATTTTTCACTGACTTCCACAATATAATGTATCTGTCCAAAATTATAGCCTCAGTTGTTTGTATTGCTGTATGAGCAAGGTAAAAAGAAGGCAAATTAATGAAGCTATCATATTGGTCATTCTCCTTTTTTGTTGGGAGGGTACCAGGAATTGGACCTGGGGACATTTAACCACTGTGCCACAGTCCCACCCCTTTTTATTTTTTAATTTTGAGGCAGGGTCTTGTTAAGTTGCTTAGGGCCTCACTAAGTTGCTGAGGCTGGCTTTGAACTTGGGATCCTCCTGCCTCAGTCTCCCAAGTTACTGGATTACAGGAATGTGCCACCTTGCCCTGCTTCTTTTTTCCTTTTTGAAAGTGAGGTCGTCATGATTTTCATAGGCACTTTCTTCTAATTTTGTTCTCGTTTTGAAACTAATTTTCTCCTAACCCTAGCAACAGTGTTCATCTTTCTGAAAAATTGGCCTTTTATTCTTGGAATAAGAGTTCAGTAACTGGAACTTAGTACAAGTGTGCTCTTTACTCTTTAGGCATACTCATGATACATACCTCGATATGCAGAGATTAAAATGTTTATTAATGTTAACAATAATTGTATTTTTTTTTCTATCTTTGCATTTTTGTGTTTTCTTAAGGACCCGAGGTTCATATTATAGTTCTTTTATTTTTTCCACACTTAAAAAAATGTTTTTAGTGTAGATGGACACAACACTTTTATATTATTTTATGTATTTATTTTTATGTGATGCTGAGGATCAAACCCAGTGCCTCATACACTACTAGGCAAGTGCTCTACCACTGAGCTATAATCCCAACCAGCCCTTTTTCCCACATTCTTTACTTGTGCATTATAGTTGTACATAATGATGGGAAAAAATGTTTTTTATTAAAAAGCAATATTTTTGTACCTAGGCTTCATATGGGAAACAAATTATTTTACATTTAATTCTCCTCCTTGATCTTAGACAAGAGTAATTAGTAGCTATTATACAGCATTGAAGAAGTGTAGAAAAGAAAGGCTGAATCCAGGTTAAAGATACAAAAATAATAATTGAGAGATTTTTAAATCAAATGTTTTATAATTTAGTTTTAAATGCCTAGTATTCTGGGTTTTATTTGCCAAAGACCAGAAAGAATCCAACACTGATAGCGGTCCAGACCATACGTACTTTGGAGGTAGTTCAGATATGAAGTGTTCTACTATAATATGATTAAAATAAAGTGACAGTTAAAAGTAAAACCGCTTAGGAAGTTGATGATGTCACCAACATTAAAGTGATCTTCACTTATGGGTGTGGCTATACAAGGATGTACAGCCAACAGGCTTTGCTGTTACAGCTTGTACTCAGAAGCAATCTTAACTAGTCAAAGTTCTAGAAAAGTGTTCCTGGTATCTTTTTATAGAACAGATACCTTAAACTGACATTCTTTGAATTATGGCTCTTGCTTGTATCATATAACTTCAGTTTGACTCTGTACTATCTAGTAGAGTTATCTGCTTTCGTGTAGGTATCTTGTCAGATAGTGTGTTCATTTCTAAAAGTCAGAGACTGTCTCAGGTTATTGTTAAAATTCAGAAGCTGGCAGTATGCATGTTGAAAATTATGAATTTAACTTGACAGGTGGCTTCCATCCAGTTCCCGTATTTCTGGTTGGTTTTTGCTCTGGCCGGTGTTATTTTATTTTCACTAGGGCTGCTTGAATGCATTCCTTAGCTTACCTTTTCTCATTTCCCTTCTCCATCCCTCTAGTTTTTAAGTGCTACTTGTTGTTCTTAGTTCATTTCTTGACAGACCACATTTTCTGCTCTTAAGTTTTCTCAGGCTCTTGCTCATTCATCTTTCAAGGTCAGGAA